TTTTATTTTTTGGTCTGTGTCAAGGAAACCCTTAATTTAAATTTACGTTCCATTTCATACTGTGCAGTGAGTTCTGTTTTAAGAGGCGTTATGTAACTGTTGAACAAAATCATTTAGTCTTTTATTGTAAGAATACCAACTTCAAAATGCATGGTAAGTGAGCTGCAGCTTCATTATACGTATTAGCTATTGGCACAGACGAGAAAGAGTACTCACCTTGCATACTAAACAGAACACAGGAAGGTCAGTGAGCGATTGAAAGGCCTTAGTTTAGAAAAAAAAAACTACAGCTGCTGTGAGTTTAAAAGTGCTCCCACCTGATTGGTCTTTCTGGCGTCACCCTCCATTGCTGTCTTCATTTCCAAAGCCTTCTCTGTTGTCATAGAAATGGAGTACAGTCCTGAAACCACACAAAAACATACATGTTCAACAGCAAAGCTTTTCCTGTTCCTTAAAAATCAATGGGAAGCGTTGCTTTAAGTCAAATCTGTCAAGAAACTTGTTTAAACTCAACAACTAACATTTGGTGAAAACGACAACACCGGCCAATTTCCTTTATGGGTGACAGCTGCTATGTGGAAGCTTTGATTTGTGCCACCACGCGGGTTGAGCATCTTCCCTTACAGGTACAGTCATTGCAGTGTGTGCGTTTTGGTGGCAAAAAGTCAGGGGGGAAAGGGTATGGCTCAGTCAGTGCTGGCTTGCAGCCAATCACAGGAGCACTCTGCATGACGAGTGTTGGCTTCGGGACTCTCTCTTCTCATACGAGCAAAGCAGATAGCATAAATTACATCAGCCAGAGAGCCCTGCAGCAGCACACAAGACAGCAGACAAACTGAGATAGAGAATGAAGGAGGGAGACGACGAGGAAGGAGAGCACACAGGTCTGAGGATGAGACAGAAGGAAGGAAGAAGAGAACCGAGGAAAGAAGGAGTCAAAGGCTAGGGAGCGGAAGAAGTGTTTGACGTACGGGGATGTTGCAATACATCAATGAGCTGGAGACATCGAGGCTTATCATTTGAAGGTGACCACTTTATAGTGAGGATGGACTCCTGCGCTGCACTATTTCTTCAGGTTACACACAGAGAAGCGACTGATATGCAGATTAGCTCGTGCAGCTTGGAGAAAAGGAGAATTATCCAAGATAAAGGCCTGAAAAAAATTAGCTTTACTGTGAAAGGTGAAAACGGGGTCGCAAGCTTATACCAATTTTATATTTCTGCTGAATTTTTAGATAAGAAAAGAAACAGGGAGGGAGGGAATCAAAAATCACAGGTTGTCAAAAAGTGTTTAGGTTTTCACATTTGATAATGATAGAGCAGCAGTTGTGCAGGAATTTAAGCAGGTGCCTCAGGGGTGAAGTATGTGCCCATAATCACTGAAATGTGTGTTCCTCCTCACCAAGAACATCAATTATTCTTGTAGAACAAACTCCAGCATCTTAAATAGTTGTGTTTGTGCTTTAAAAAGATTTAAAAAATATTTGACTGATTAAAAAAAAACCTCTGTAAATAAGAAAATTATATGTCAGCTCATTTAAATACCCACTCTAAGAATGTTTTTTCTATAGATAAAAACATAAAATAAGGCTTGAGGTCAGTGGGAGCGTGTGATTTGTAGGTGGGAGGGTATAGAAGCAGTGATTAAAAAGCTTTTAGTGAAGAGCAGTCGGGGACAAGCAAAACAGAAGCATTGTTTGAATTTCAAATGACCAACAAGTGTGTGTCAATAAGAAAACAATATGGTCTTTTTTCCTCTCTCTCTCAAGAGCAGGCTTCAATTTTTTTTTTTAAACAGCTTTCTGTATTTGCTATTTGGGAGGCTGTAGCACAGCACGCCTCAACTTTAATGGTAGGTCAGTTTCAGTTTGCTTTATAATGTATTCCAGATCAAAGCATAGTGCAGTCTGGTTCCCAAAAGGCTGCAGATGTCACACACATACGCTGTTCAGCATGCAGCCACAACTTTAAATAGGCTCGTTCATTATTTTATAGTGTGATATAATTGGTTACAAAACGCATGCTCTGTATCTTGTGCCTGCAAAGACATTTGATATATATTTTCCCTCAAAATACTGTTTTAACTCAAAGAAGCAACAAGATTACATAACTAAAATATGATGGGCCATAACATTATGACCACCAGAATGTAGGCATCATTTTATGGTATGGTAAGGCTAATCTTTGATCTGTAAGTAAAGAACATCCTGAGGTGTCCTGGGGTGTCTGGTAGCATTAGGACAGGTCTGTTTGGTCCGGGATATCTTTTCACAGATTCTAATACTAAATGTATATGTTATGAGTGCACTACTATATTGACCTGTGTAATAAGCAAATGCTACTGAATGCCTCAAATTTACCTCTGAGATTCATAAAATATTTATCTACCTACCCATCTATCCACCTACCTCTGTCCATCTATCTACCCATCTATACATCTACATCTGTCCATCTATCCATCTACCTCTGTCCATCTATCTACCCATCTATACATCTACATCTGTCCATCTATCCATCTACCTCTGTCCATCTATCTACCCATCTATACATCTACATCTGTCCATCTATCCATCTACCTCTGTCCATCTATCTACCCATCTATACATCTACATCTGTCCATCTATCCATCTACCTCTGTCCATCTATCTACCCATCTATCTATCTACCTCTGTCCATCTATCTATCCATCTATCCATCTTCCTCTATCCATCTATCTTCCCATCTATACATCTACTGTACCTCTATCCATCAGTATCTATACATCTACCTCTATCCATCCATCTACCCATCTATACATCTACCTCTGTCCATCTATCTACCCATCTATACATCTACCTCTGTCCATCTATCTACCCATCTATACATATATCTCTGTCCATCTATCTACCCATCTACACATCTACCTCTGTCCATCTATACATCAACCTCTGTCCATCCATCTACCCATCTATCCATCTACCAATCTAGTCGCTCCAATTTAAAATGACTATGGCAAATAATCTACATTAGCCAACACAAACATTTCTATAGCTCAGTCCATTTTACTGAAATAGAGCTAAATTTGTTGTGGTAGTAGCTGAGAGTCATTCTCAACACATTTGCTGAAAGTTATGACATTTTGCAAGATCTCACGTATGACATACTGTTATTGTTTTTTTTTAGTGAGTCATTTACATGGTTTGACTGAAACATCTAAACATTTGTTCCTTCTTAGCACAAGTTGGTTTTTGGTTCAAATATTCCTTCAAGGAATGTCAGGCCTTTCATTTTTATTACCAGTTTGTGATTTGTGTAGGTAAAACTTACAGTCATACTAACATCAATGTGAATGCCAGAGCCTAGGTCTTCCCAGCAAACTCTGCATTGTAAGAAGATGAGCTTTGTTACTCACTTAATTTGTCAGCAGCTCAGTTACACCATAAAAGCTTTAACTTTCATATGCAATCTTTCCATAAGTGCAATTATTCTGTGCTGAGAAGAGGAGTCAAATTCCACGTTTAACCGTGACATCTCCGATCTCATCTCCATCAAACACCAACTCACATAAGCCGTATAGATCTGCTCACTGTAAAACAACCAACCAATCAGTGTCAGTCATACGAAGCAGCTGCCAAGACAATGGGCCTGGGAATCTCAAGCAAGCTGGAGAAGATCAGTGTCAGGGACTTCAGACAACTTCATTCTTGCACATCATGATTGCAAAGCCAATCAGTTCTTTCATTTGGCTCTTTTTATGATTCAATCACTGCAGGTCTGCATCAGTTCTGGTCTCTGCACAATTAACCATCCGTGAGAGGGAGCTGATGGAGTTTAAGTAGTGCGTGGTGCTCAGACTCCAAATTCGTGCAAAATTCAGACTCTAATTAAATGTATTTTTTTATTAAATTGTCTGGGTTCTTTGGTCTTTGAAATTCAAAGACGGAGCACCAAAAAAAGTCTGCGAAAGAATTCAAGAGCTGTGGCAGGTGAAGATCTAAAAACAACTTCTGATACTGATGATTTTCTAAAAATACTTACATTCCAGGAGTTATTCACTTCTTCACTTGAATATAAGATAAAAAAACGTATTCATTTTTTTCAGTTCATGAACCATAGTAAACGCTGCAGTAATGCATTTACTATAGGACTGGTACAAAACTAAAACTCTGTATGTCATTATATGTACACAGTAAAGCAAATATCCCCAATATTTATCTGAGTATAGATTAAAAAAAACAGTCTTGCACAACTTTTTCTTTGCTTACTGATTCTCTCCTAATTTCCTATTGTGTGGACAGTTGTGCATGCCTGCTGGTTTTGCCTGATAAAAAAATAAATAAATAAACAATTACATCTATCGCACAACCAACTAAGATTAGAGGAGCTCCAAACTGCCTCAGGTGGAAGTCACACAAGTCAGTTTGAAATGCTGTAAGTAAATCATTGCTTCTTTTTCTACCCTGTTCACTAAATAGTGACCACAAAAACTGTTTAAAGCCAATATCTCAAAATCAATATACCTATATGAACCTTAATGTATGTAATTTTGTCAAAAATGGAACCAGGCAGACAACACATGATGTCACATGTGTACAAGCATAATTTAGTTTTACAAAAATTGAAATTTCAAGATTCATATCATCATTTAACAGAAAAACACCTTACAAACAGGTATCAACCAGCAAATAGTTTTATTTGCACGTAATGTAATTGGTTGCAATGCATCGTGCCTACCTTTTTTTAATTAATTTACCATCTGTTTGTTTAGGTTTAAGCATACTTGTTCAAGATTCAGAAACAAAGTTCTGCTTTGGAGGTCATTCGAAAGCCTAAATGTTTCTCACAAAGTAAGACAATGTGACAAGGCAAGCTGATGCTGAGATATTGTGCTTTTCTAAAAAAATTGTCTAAAAAGGCAACATTTTATTTTGTTGACTGAGCTCGAAAAGCTCCAACTGCTGAGGAGTGCTGCAAATGGACGCAAAATTTCTGAGCATTTGCCACAATGGCTAACTTGTTTCTCTGTACACCTAAACAAAATCCATAAAACTTTACATTAAGAATAAGCATTAAAAACTGACATTGTTTACCGGTTCCAAACTTAATATTGGATACAAAGATCATATGGCTTAAACAAATTACTGTTTGTATATTTTGGTATTTAATCAGACTATGGGTAATTCTAACAATGCATCAATCTATATCCATATATATCCCATGATATTTACGAGATGAGAAGAACATGAGTCACTTCCACCTCCCAGGATGCCTCTCCCAGTATAGAAGTGTACAGATGGTCCAACACAGTTGTATACTTCAGTAGTGTATTTTTCCATCTTAGTGTATCTCTTAGTCAATAAAGGAGATTGCATCAAATCAAATAAATGAGCTTTGTTTCCCTGAAATGCATTAAGTTTCCTC